TAAAGAACAAAAAACGGCAGCTTTGCGGTATTGAGTCGGTTCCCTACACCGTTGCTCAGAATCACTCTCCCATCCCCCCAACTCGCACCCAAAAGACAATAATGCCTCCTTCTGTTTTTTTGTTTTATCGCCAACACGACCGCGCCAGGTGCTGCAGGGGCAGAATTTCGCGCCCCGCCTGCCGCTTCTGATACAGGACGTGAGGCTGCTTCTGTTGAGGCTGGCGCACCAGGAGAGCCTCTCCGCCGACTGCGGGGGCGGGGCGGCTCGCAGCAACATCCAGCTCATTCCGTACCAACTACAGGTAGAACACCGGGCATGGTAGATTTTCTGGGTTTGCGGTGTTTTTGATGTAGCTGTGACGGCGAGTGTGTGCGAGACGTGTGTGTGTGTGTGTGTGTGTGTGTGTGTTTTCTTAGTAAACATCGACGCGCTAACCGGCTGACCAATGAGCAGGCGTCAATCTCTCATCTCTCAACAGCGGAATAATGAAAACCGAACACGCCTTTTCTAATCAAACGGTTTTATCGACAGGGGGCGGGGGNGGGGGGGGGGGGGGGGGGGGGGGGGGGGGGGGGGGGGGGAGGGGGGCGCACACGTGCGTGTGTTGAGAATAGAGCCAGCGTAGGGCACTTGTCTCCGACCTGCCGCTGCCTGCCGGGGGTGTGTCGGGTCGTCTGATGAAGACATCAAGACATGCCCTCCCGCGCATGGAGAACCAACCCGTCTTGTCCCCCTTCGCCTCGCAGGCGGCGCTGTCTATTGATTGCTCTTGTGGCTGGTTGACTTGTGTAAAAGAAACCCATGCACCGCCGACACCACTCCCTTGTTCTTCGAAAATATTCATCCAACGAACGATAGAGTACCTACCGTTCGAGACGTTGCCACAGTCGAAGGGAATGTGTTTAAAGTCTTTTGCAGGAAGCGGGAGAAAAAACGGCTGGACACGCTGAGCTTGTTTGAGTCAATTCCTGTCCGTCCTTCCGTTCCTGCCTGCCCTGCTCATGACATCCCGGCCCGCGAAATTGTTTGACACCACCGCGCGACAGGCGGCCGCCCACCTGGCCAAGATAACCGGCACGTCATCCGGCGCGCGACAGGCGCAGCGTCTGCGCTCCATCTGCCGCGCCTTCTTCGACGAGTGCCGCTTAGCGGAGGCGGACGCTGAGCGCGGCCACGATGGGGCGGTGGCGACGCCGGCCGCGGTAAGTACCGCCGCTGGCGGCGGGGGTGCGGCGGCGGCGGCGCGGTCGCCGGTGGTTCCGGAGGGCGTGCGTTCTCGGCTCCACGAGTGCTCCGGCTTCGTGGCGGTGCTGACGCTGCTGCTGCAGCCGGTTGAGGAATGGACGCGGTGCAAGCGCTTTGTCTTGGTGAGAATTATGTCGTGCTTCTTGCTTGCTTGCTTGCTTGCTTGCTTGCTTGCTTGCTTGCTTGCTTGCTTGCTTGCTTGCTTGCTTGCTTGCCTGCCTCTCGTGATCGCTCGCCTTGTGTGCATGCGAATGGAGGTAGCTATACATAATGACGCAAGGTGGGAGGTAGGTGCGTAGGGAAGACCGAGCTCGCCGTGATTTCGAGATTTGTGGTGTGCTGCAGTCTTTTGAGTGTGAGTGGGGGGCAGCGAATACGCCCGCACGTATTGCACAGCAGCAGTGCGGGTTCCGTCTTGTTACTACCACCGGAACCAGCGAGTTGCCGGCTACACACCCACCCCTCACTCACTTCCGTTGAAACCCCTTTTTTTTGGTATACATGCCATCGTAACTGAATGCAAGTATCAAGCATGAAGGCTGAAACCCCCAGCCCCTTAACGGTGCCCGTTCACTTTGGCTGTTCCCTCTCTCTTCACTACGCAGGAACAACTCATCCGCCACGCCGGCGCCCGGAAAGCAAGAGGCGTAGCAGGTTCGGGCGTCGAAGGCCGCGGCGGGCGGCGCCGGTCCCGTTCTTTCGCGGGCCCCAGCAGCCCGCGAGTGAGCGCTTCAGGCTCTGCGGCGGCGGCGGCGGCGGCGGCTGTGGCTAGCCCTGCGCAGCAGGCGGGCGGCGCCGGCGGCGGTGTGTCTCCGGCGGCGGCAGCGGGCGCCAAGCGAAAGCGTTCGCCGAGCAACGCTGGCTCGTCATCTGGCGGGGCTGCGGGGCGTGGTTCCTCGGAGTCGGCGGCGGCAGCGGCAGCCGAATCCGGAGTCGCAATGGAGGAGGAGGAGGAGGAGGAGGAGGAGGAGCGCGAGCGTAGAGAGGAAGAGGAGCAAGAGGAGTCTGTCCTGGCCGCCCGGCCGGCGCTCATCTTCTGCCGCGTCGTGGACGCCCTGCAGTCGGCTCTCAAGTCCGGCGGCAGTGGAGGCGGCAGCGCCGCCGCCGCGGTTGCGGCCGCAGCGGGGGGGGGTCAAGGAACGCTCGAGGTTTTCTTGTCGGGAGGCGACGACTTGCTCCTCGCCGCGAGCTCTGCGGCGCACGAGGCTTACGAGAGGGCGATCAAGCCCCTGAGCAAGAACGGCGGCGTGGTGGCGATCCTGGAGGCGATGGGGCTGAAGGAGGACTTCGCGTCGGCGGTGGTCGGCGGGGAGAGGGAGGCGGGGACGATGGACGAGAGGGAGAAGGCGGAAGCGTGTCGAGCGCGGGTGCTGAACCTGCTCTGCGAGGGAGAGGTGTTCGCGCTGGCCGGGTCTCGCTCCTAGCAATTGGGCGTTTTAAGCATCAGGCGTAGCTTCTAGGCAGTGGTTGCCAGCGCGCTCCGGCTGGTTTGCGACGCCGGAGACGATGGCGAGGTTCGATATTCTTGCGGGAAAGAATCCGCGAAGACTTTTCGACCTTGGGGTGGGGGGTTCTGGGGTCGGGTTTGGGTAGTTGGAAGTTGTTGTTGTCCAGTACGGCGAGGGGGGCGTTTGTGCTGGCGTGTGTTAATTATTCTTGATTGTTCACGGCGTGCCGAATTTTGTTGCTTGGCAGGCCCAAGGTTGTATTGGGGCGGGGGGAAGGGGGCGAGGGGG